AAGCTGCTGGGATGCAGGAATTTTAGGGTCAATACCAAGTCAATTAAGAGCAGATGGAGGCATTGACAGCCAGTGGCTCCATTCAGGAGGGAACCAGCTGGGGGGCACAATGTGGGGCAATTCAGGAAAGGAGAGATTTTCCACAGCAGGGGAGAAGTTAGGAGTATGCAACAGGGACTGTGCATATGCCAGAGAAGTAGAAAGGGTCAAAGAGAGATCAGGAGAGCCTTGGAAAAATCTCATCTTTTCACATACTGGCTTCAGTTCGCTTTCTTTCCTCCCTTTCACAAAAATCTCCAAGGCTTCTTCTTTTTCACTTTCTCTTTCTATTCTTTAATGTTTGTGGTTGCCTGACTCAGATTCCTTCTAGAGGGAAATAGGTATTGCATACTTCCAAACAGCTTTTTCATTGGACAGCTGCTCCCTTTTGGGCTGATGCCCTCTATACCTAACGAGCTTTTGTCCTTGTTTTGCTGTGGCTATGAACATTAGGTCTGGAAAGTGTAATTGCCCAACTTGTAATCTGTATGCAGCATAATGCAGAGAAATAATGAATCAGTCATCCTACCAAATGCTAATATTTGCATTTGCCATTGATATATAGAGAGCAAAAGTGCTGGTGGAAGTAATTTTCAATTTTATTGTAGGCACAGATGATACCCTGAGAGAGGTCTGATCCTAGGACCAGAGTGATCACAGTTGTGTTTGAAATACTGTGACATGTTCAGGGCTTTGCTTTTGTGATTCTCGTTGGAGTCACTAAGAGTGCTTGCTGATGTCCCAGACAGGGCATAGAGAATTGCACCACAGTATTATGGGACTCAAGGTTTTCTGTGCAAGACTTAGAAACAAGCAGCAGCTTCTGCTTGGCTGCCTAATGCACTGGTTAGCTGAAGGTTTAACTGGCACATTAATGTCTTAGCACTTATTAAATGGATGCCTCAAATTGATAATCATGAGTAATACTTCATCTTTTTATGTCTCTCCCTAACACTCCCATCATCATCCCCAACAAATTTTCAGGAATATTAATGCATTAAAACATATATATATTTATATATACCTCAGAAGCCCTATTCTACATGTTTAGTTTTGCATCCTCCTCTGCGCTCACCTGCTCCACTCCAGAATGACTCCATTTCAGTTGGGTGATAGCTAAAGTATGTAAAATGTTTTCTAAGCATTTCTAACTCTAATCTGCTTTATTACCTTTCTCTGCACTTGATGCCTTTTCATTTTCTAGTCATTGAAATACTAGGATACAATTATTAAGATAGTCAAGAAGCTGTAAATAAGTGCTCTTGTGTCATAAAATGACAAATGAAAAAGCGTACTGTAAAAAAGAAATGTTGATTTTGGTTGTCCTGAGAATTAGAAAAGATAGACACTGACTGGTGAAGATATGAAACAGAAAAAAGCCCCATGTAGATGAAGCTATTATCTCTTAGATCATGTCACCTCTTTGCAAGTACAATATTGTGCTCCCCTGAGGACTCAATTTAAATTGATAGTGCATCACAGAATTCCTTTGCAGCCTTTTCTTAGACAGGCAGTTGACTTATGCAACAGTTGTGCTCCTCAGTGGAGTTGACTTATAATAAACCTTTGTTGTGAGTACAAAAATACCAGGATTGAAGTCAAGTGCTCTTCAATTAAAGATCTATTTAGGTGGGAACAAGTAGAAATTCTTGCAATCATTTAAGCAGTGCTATCAAAATTGAACTGCTTTGCAAAACTACATCCATCTTGGTTTTGAACTTCATTAAAAAACAGAACCAGTGTTGAGGGAGAGGTGTATCTGTGGAAAGGAGAAGAGTTGAAAAAAAACAGAATTATGTATTTGGTTATCATTACAACTCTTCTAAGTTTTCATTTTCAAAGGAGGTTTTTGTTTCCATCTTTAACTTGGAAAATGTGAAGAAAATGTCTAATAGTTGAAATCAAATTAAATGCCTAAGAAAAAGAACCTTAATGAAAAATTTCAACATCATATCTAAAATTATCACAATCATCTGTGAAATTTGGGCTTTCATCCTTCTCATAGCCTGCTGAGCAGGTACACCCTCAAGTGTTTGGAATAAAATAATTTTGCAATCAGTGGATTGAAATGTAAACCTGGACACATGTTTGCTACCATCACCATCATCACTTGAAAAGCAAACTTCTATTGCTGCAGGATTTGATCCATCTAGCAAGAGAGGGAGGAAAAAACACAATGTTCTAAACTTGCAGATGTTTTTCCTGGAGGAGTAATGACTCTTATGTAAATAATCACTTTATTCTGCAAGTGCATACAGTTTCATTCCACAAATTGATTTCACCTCTTCTGCCCTTTTCTCTGGTGCAAGCCTCTGCTAGATCTAGCAAGCCTCATTATTCTGTTTTTAAATATCAAAGCTATAAAAATCCAAGTCAGAGCAGTGCAGGAACATTGTTTTCAAGTTACATCTTGAAATCTCCAAGTTGATGTCAAATACAAATCTTGGCTAACACTGTGAATAACAGATATGTTTTATCACTAATGTGGAAGAAATGCAGCTTTTTAGCATCCATATTCTATGGGCAGGTAATGAGAGAGGAAAAACTAAACATACAATAAACATTAAAAGTGATGGAATAGTCTGGTAAATAAATTCCTTTGTTGCAATACAACTGTTTTCCAGTTAAGCATCAAACATGCAGTTGTGGTTGTTTGCTTTGTATGTGTCAAACCACATTTAGAGTGCTGAGCAACTCTGGCACTAAAATCCATCATCAGCAAGCAGAGCAGGGGGATACTTAACATGGTGTGCCCAGCTCCACCACTGTCACCTCACAGAAATTACTGAGTGTACTCAGAAATTACAGTAATGGAAAGAGGAGCAGAATCATCCCCTAAATCTTTGTGTGTTCATAAACTGTCATTGCCAATTTTTAACTACTCTGTGTTATGAGCTGAAGTTGATTTTTTTCTCTTTTTTGGTGTCTTTCATGATACATGTGCATGTCTCATAAATATGATTTATTGTTTCTCTTTTAAAGTTGAAATGGTTGGAGGAAGAGTATGGTATTCATTCCTGAGGGAAGATAATGTGCCTGAGGAAAGTTTGTTTTAGGCAGTTAGTGAGTAGCTCTTGTTCTTAGAGCTTGAAGGTATCTATTTCTCAGATAATTGTGTCTTGGGAGTATATTGTGATATATTTCAGCTGCAAGTATGAATTACAATTTACCAGCCCGTTGTTTCAGGAATACTTTGTCAGTGAATTTTTCACAGGTTAATTGCACATTGTTTAAGAAAATGACAGTTTTCATTGTTTCCTCAGACTACATTAATTTTCACAGTACCTGATTGTAAGGTAGGCATCTATTACATGAGCTTTGTTTTCAGCTCTCAAAGTAGCAAAATTTCCATACCTTCTAAGTGGAAATCTTCCAGGTCTTGTAAGGATTACTCCTTTTTCCTAGGCGGTCTTTTTCTGTATGTTCACTACTGCTTGTGGAAAAAATGTTGTGTGGCAGCTCAAGTTAAATCCAGAGCTCAGTGTGAAGCTGGGTATGAATGCAGGGATTGCCACTGGGGAGGAGCTCTGTTCCAGTTGAGCTCAGCTTTCCCTCTGATAGATGCCCCTGGTAAGTATTTCAGAGGAAAGTGCAACACAGCCATCAGTAAGGAAATAATGAGCCTAACACAGAAGGTCTTTTAAGCTGTGCCATGGAAAACGAGAGTCTGTATATTTACTTATTATACTTAGTCAAAAGCAGCTCTTGGGTTTTTTTGTTGTTAAGTGTAACTGTTTGATCCTCTCTGCTCCTCTCATAGTCACAATATCTTGTAACAATGAGTTTCACCTCAGGTTAATCAAGTTCTCTAGAAGAAGATGTTTGCCTTTATCAATTTTATATGTGTTGTCTTTTCAATTTCACTCAATGTCCACAAGAAAAATTTTATTTCCCTTTTACTACCATTCATTATTTTCTAAGCCTCTGCAATGTCTTCCCTTATCTCCTGACTAAAGCAAACAATTCCAAATGTCTTAGCTGCATCTACTTGATTTGTAAGCTTTTAAGTATTTTTATTTCATTTTTGTACCTGTCCTAATTTTGAAATATGCTTTTTAAAGACTGGAATTTGAGGCATAATCCTGATCTGTAGGTTGGAAATGGGCTATTACTTGTATAATTCCGATTCTTTTGACTATTTTTGGTTTTAATTTCCTTTTTTTCTGGTGATCCCATATGTACTGGAACAATTTCGAGGGAGCATTCACCACTAGGCAGATTCTCACAACACATCTTCACTTACCTGAGCATCCTAGAAGTGCTTCAGATAACATAAGCCACTGTGCTTTCTTTGTTATTCCAATGAAAAGGCCATCTCTATGTTTCTAGAACATTTTAGTGGGGTTTATATTGGGCTTTTTAAATAATCAAGGACATATATTTGTCAAATATAGGTGAAAAGTACCTGGAGTGGCTAATTCAGTAGTGTTCTACTCATTGTGAAACTCAGTTGTCTGAAATGAAGCCCATGTTTCTTCCTAAGAGAGGTTTAAGTAACTGCAGTTGTAGTTGTACAGTTTAAGCTATTCAATAATAATCTTTTAGGAGTTATCTTGAGATGCCTCAGTGCCAAAGTTTAGCCTCTGCATTTTAAAACACCTTTAAGTCTCTCTTTCCAGAGTACTGCCCAACTTGAATTTGTCTAGTTGTGTCTGACTTTCATCTATGAAAATGCAGTTTGTCACAAGTATTGGAAAACAGATGATCTCCCAAGTCAGAGGTTGCTTCTATAACTGATGGATTTTCATCATTCAGACAAACTTTCTCAAACTTTTTCTGTCATTTAATACCTGTGTAACTGAGGATGTAGGAAAAGCCTGATGACTGACAGAAAAAGTCTAGGCTATGCTTCACTTTCAGTCCTGACGTAGCAGCTTTTTGGCATGAAATTAGAGCTGAAAAATAGGAGTGCAGATTGCACGCATCTTTTATTTTCTCTCTTTTTTTTTTTTTATTCCCAGATCTAAACGCCCAGTGCCAGTTTCAACCACAGCTCCCAGAATTGACTCTCCCAGGGCTGTAATTCCCCATCAGAAGGTAAGTGACATGTTTCTCCTCAGCTGAAGTGAATACCATTTTTATCTGCTGTGGTGAAGGTAAATATCTATTACAGGAAATAGCTTTTGCCTGCCCCAAATAATTAAACATTGAATGAATGCACAGGCAGCAAAACTGCTGCAAGGCAATGTATTAGTGATCTGTATTTTGCTAATTTGTGATTAGCAGGACCAAAGCATCCAGCTATCCTCTGATGTGATTTGGTCTAACCAGTTCTTAGCAACTGTTTTATCTAGGCTACAAGAAGCCACTAAAGCTTCTCAAAATCTACATTTGCTTTCATAGATTGTTGGGGAGAACCATTAGACTATGCCTCAGTCTATCCAAATCAGGGCTGCAACTGAAATTACACTGATTTGGAAAGAGGACATGAGGGCATTTGAAAGGTTGCATCATATAGTGGTCTTATCATAGAATTCAGAAAACCTAAGAATAAAAAATAAAGAGGATAAGTCAATTTAATAAATAACAGCAAGTGGCAGAGGAAATGAATGGCTTGGTTTCCATTGTCAAAGCACATCATCTTTCATAAAATAAATGTTCATTTTAGAATAAACACTGACTGTACCTGGCAACACAGCTTCTGTATCTTTGGAGACACCGAGGCACAAGGGTACCTGAAAGATGGTGTATATATCCCTGGGCTCAGGCTCTGGGTAGGACATTTGTATTGCTGATGCATTTGATTAGATAAATGGACAGGAGCTAAAGTTTCCATTCCTGCAACTTATCCCTGCTGTCAGTGCTGGTTTCATTCCTAGCATGCATATAAATAAAAAACACTGAAGATCAAAATACATGGGGAATTAGATGATTTTCTACTGTTTTTGACAGTTCCAACTTCCTGGAAATAGATCAATTTTAAGTAATTTTTATAAACACTATGCTTTCCAAATTCAGAGCACAGATGGTAACATCATCCCTGAAACTGCTGCAAATAGGTTCAAAATAGCAGAAGAGAATGCACCTGGGAGGAATAATCTGATTCAATTTTATTTTGTGAAATTTTAAATTAACCTGACTGGCCATTTATTAGTTGAGGCAGAAATAATGTTATTTCAGACAAGATCTTCTAAACTTTTTTGGCAAGGGAAGATGAAATTAAGAATTTATCTTGCTCAGAGTTGTTTCTGTTTATCATGATATTTTAAAAGTTATTGTGGAGGAACTTACTGGAAGAATCACCAAACAGTACTGTGAAATTCCTAGAACAAAAGCAATGTATCATTATTTTGGTTAAACTGGTGCTTGGCTGCACCAACAAAGTAATAGGGACAGGAAGGGGAAGGAGTTCTTGTTTTCCCTGAAGACCGACCCAGACTGCTGTTAGTGTTCAAGGCAGTGAGTAGGTCTCTCTCATCAGAGTTATTCACCAACACAATATTGACACCTATTTTTGGGGCTCTATAGCACATGCACAGGTATGAAAATTTTGCCTCCTTCCTCCATAGGCACATAAAGCTTTTATATATTGAATTTTCATGACTCTTAGGTGCATTTTTTCTTGGCAAGTGTCAGTTTTAAAATTGCTGCCATAGGTCTTCAAAGCTGTTTACCACAAAAAAATACTTTCCTCCCTTAACTGTCTACTGTATAGAAAAGTTACCTTTATGCACTGCAGGGGTTTCTTGAAGGTCCTAAAAGAACCCTTGGCATGATAGCCATAAAGACACTTTACTTTTCTTATTCTAACCCTTCAGAGAGATGAGGATCAAAGGACTCAACCCATTTGCAGAAGCTTGCTGTCTTACATTTGAAAATTCTGTGCAAAGTTCTCAAGAAAGGTTTGTAGGAGCTGCTGGAGGCAGACTTTTCTGAAGAGGCTATAGGCAGTACCAGCAGCTGGGAAAGAAAATCACTGGAACCTTTCTGGAGGAAAAGGGTGGCATCCAGGGAAAGGTACAGGGAAACAAGTTATCTTGCAGTATTCAGGAAGATCTTAGGTGTAGGGTCTTTCACCTAGGGGGAAGAGGTAACATTAGAGTGCTGGGGCAGACCCTTTGCAGGTCAAGTGAAGTGACACATGTGCCACTTGTCCATGCTAGTAGACAACAGTAGGTTTTAAGTGAAGAAGAATTCTTCTCTGGGGTTGTTTGGAAGGGAAAAAAGGCATTGAGCCCTCAGAGAAGTTTCAAAATCCAGAATAAAAATACTTTACTAATAGAAGCAGTATAATGCTGATTTGGCAGTAAGGTGTGTTACAGTAAACACTTTAAAACCAAGGTTTCTTTACTTGTTACTTTATTTTTTTCTAGTAACAGTATCACTGTAGAAATGAATTCTGTGACACACAAGCAGAAGTCACCTCCACACCTCTGATTGACAGTGTTTAGACTGATGGTTCATATGAAATGAATTTGATGATATTTTTTAAAAATCAGCAAAAAACTGCATTACAAGACAGTCATGACAGTGTGATCCTCATACATCGAGGGAAGCTTTCCTCACCCTTCTCTGATTAAGGTTAAGGCATGGCAATGTTAGCTAAACAATCTGCATGTGCAACTTCAGTGTTTGGTTAAAACCATAAATCCTCTTGTACAGTATTGCTGATCTGATTGTAACTTCCACTAATTTTCAAGCATGCACTTCTTCTTTCACTGCTTTTTGTTTTGTTTTTTTATTTTTGTTTTAGGGAAACAAGCATACTTTTTTTCCACAAAGATTAGTCATTCTTTCACAAAGCTGATCAATGTTATAGATTATACAGGTTCTGCAACCATAAGTATGTAGGGCTATTATTGGAAATAAGGTTTGGTTGATTTTCAGTTTCACTGTATCTGACATAAATCTCAAACTAGAAACAATTTTCATTTAGTTTAGTCAAACCTTTTTGATTTAGTGAAGTCTTTTGCACAGGTGGGGCATAGCTGGATGACAGGGCATAGTTAATGTCGAAAGCAGTCAAATAACAGTAAGAGTAAGCTTGAGTCCAAGGATTTAAACTGAGCCATCAATCTGCCAGTGAGTTCCTGCAGCTCTTCAGAGGGGACACAACACAAGTGAAGATTCAGCTCAGGGCAGTTCAAAACATTCAAGCTGGAGCTTTAAGGCTGAGCATGGCTTTAACATTTGTCCATTTGCATGAAGGTATTGACAGCCTTGCTAATTCTAATAATATGGCTGTGTGTTGTGGTTTCTGTGAAACATCACTGAACACGCTTATTTTGGAATCCCAGTGAGGATTTTGTCATGCTTATGATTTGTTTCCTGCCAAATTTGGGACCCTATGTGTCCAAGAGAAAATAGATGGAGATGACTGACTTTTTAAGTAGAGTGTGGGATGGAGGAGCTGGCTCAGCCAAAAGCCATTTGATTATGTCTTTGAGCAGAGTCATTCAGCGCCATGGTGCCTCCATTCCCTTTCTCCTCTAAAATATTTAAAGCAACAATTGCTTCTTGAGCATGTTGAATGGTCAAATTCACTGGTATACTGTTAAAATTGTTCTCTCAGAAGTGCAGGAGGTGAGTAATGAACTGTAGGGTCACAGCAATAGATAAATAGAAAATGACCCGTCAAAGGGAGAGGACCTGCAAAAACTTGGCATTGCATCTCCCAATATAAATTTGTTTCTCACTTCCCTGATACATAAGAAGGAACATTTGACTTTCATAGAAACTGTATTTTTATAAACAAATGATAATAGTAATAATTCAGAATGGAAATTGAGCTGATTCCTAGCTTCCTTGTATTTCAAAATGTTTGAAATACTCTATACTTTGATCACTTTAATATCAGTTTTAAGCTCATTCCCTGATAATGCACAGTTTTCCTCTCACAGTAAGGGATTGCTGCACGATTCCAGCCCCTTTCTGGAGGGAAGCCCATTGCTCAGTGTCAGAGCCTCCTCTCCTGGTCGACTGGAGAGGTAGCATCAGACGCCCAGAGCTGGAAATGTCAGCTTGCTCTTCCAGCCACTGAAACAGAATGGGATGAGAGATAGGGAACAGGGGAACGTTTGTTATTGTTGGCTGCATTTCATGTGATGCAATGCTGAAAGCTCAGTGCTGCTGCTCAGTATTAGATATTTGCCCTTCACAGTCAGAAATGGATTCAGAAATTCTGCATTGATCTGATTTGACATTGAACTGGAGACAAAAAATAATTCTACAATACTCTCCCAGGAATAAATTGAATCAGAGATTTTTTTGTTAGTCACAAAAGGAAAGAGCTACATCAGCTGATGATGGGGCAGTAATTTTTTAGAAGAAGTAATGCAGCTGTTCTCTTAGACACTTTCTGTTTCATCCATTTTTCCCTCCACAACACAGGGAAAACAACTACCCTAAACCTATCCAAAATATGAACTCAAGATGGAGATTGCTAACCTGGCACTGCTGGATTCTTAAGAATTCTAATGCTGATTTGCCAGTATGGTAGTATGTCAGCTAGAGATTGTTTGAGGAGCAAAACCAGAACTCCATTTGTGTCAAAAGGGAGCAAAATCATCAGCCATCATTTTTTATGGCTGTCCTATAATTCTCCTATTGCCTATGGTAACTGTACAGTACACCAAGACTATGAAAATGGTTTAGGGTTAAGGAAATATTTGGCATTTCTCTCATTAGTAGTTGAAACTGATGCTTCACGATCAGCCTTCCTTGCATGTCCTTTTATTTTGGGGTGTAGGAAGAAACCCAACTGTTAAGTAAAAGCCACAGAGTTTTCAGGGTAACAAATGAATATAACTCTAGGATATCCTTTTTCTTCTCCATTACCTGTGTTTATTTTTTATTTAATAATTGTTTCTTCCCTCTGTTGCTGGCATATAAAAATGGTTTGCCCAAGTGATTACTTAATTTTTGAAAATGGTCTTGTGTGTTTGTGCCTCTTTTTGAACACATTTTTAGAGAGAAACCCTGATTTCTGTTTATCTAATGATATCCAGAAGCTTTCAATAGGCCACTGGAAGGGATTGTTTGCTGTTTTCAGTGTCAGGGTATAATGACTGAAGTATATATTGCAAATGTATTTATTTAAAAAGGCATGGTCTGAAAATGCATTTAGGATTATCTGTTTCTACAGCCTTGGGCAGCTATTAATGCCAACTAAATCTCTTCCTGTTTATCACTAAGAAAAATAATCTGTTAATTTTATATGCGTTATCTTTTTGATTCAAAACATCTTAAATGTGTTTAATGTTATGATTCTTTATATCCTTAGATCTTTAAGCGTTTTTTTTCAATAAATTTTAATTAATAGAGGCATATTATCTTGATTTTTTTTTAAAATGTATGCTCCCTAAATTTATACATGCAATATAGAAAAATCCAAAAGGGCAAAATAGATTTTTTTTTTGTGAACCATAGTATCTAAATTAGTAAATTACATTAACGATAACCAATACCAGCAAAAGTATAGAATCAGAGGCCAAAATATTCTCAGGCCTGTATTTCATGCAAGTCTGTGGGGCAGATAAGTGCAGGGTGTTAAAGATGATGATTGAATTGCCAGTGAATGAGGCATAACATCACTGCAGGCCACCACCTGCTCTTGAACTGGCTGTCACTGAGGCCAGATTGTGGGCTCCATTCAGGCTGATATCCCCTGCCTGTCCCTGTTCCCTGAGCTGGACTGCAGCAAGTAGCCAGCATTATTTGGCCTCTTATTACCTCTTATTTTAGTTTCACTAAGGGGCATTTATAGTGAATCATTTATGAAATTTAAGTGTTGGACTGTGTTTTTCCAGGATGAGTTTTTGGTAGATTGTTTTGAATCTGAGCACAAGCACAGACTTATATAGGTATAGTAGGAGAGATGCCTTTGGCTAAGGCAGTACTACTGCTGTCCCAGTTAGGAATACTGTCTGGGACAGGACTGTAGGATCATACACACACCTACATAATCAAGCACACATTCTCTCAAGTGGAAATTAAGCAGGAGTGATCAGCATTGGATCAACCTTTCTGTGGAGCAGTTCCTGTTCTCAAGTCCTGCTGGTGTCTCTGCTAACCCTGCTGCATGGCCTGATCAGCATGAACCAGAGCCCAGGAAAGCAGTGCATAACTTCAAGTGCACTCATAGAAAACAGAATGGTGTGGTTTAGAATCATTGTGTCTTTATAATAATGGCATTGATTTTTGTGGTTGTTCATGATCTAAAATTATTCTTACCTCAAGACTTTGAAAGATTTCTTAATTATCCTAGAAATGAATGGACAGTGCTGCCTTAATATGAAATTATTGTTGTGAGATTGTCTAGTAGCAAATGCTCTCTTAATGTTAAGCTTTATTTGTTGATTTCAACTAAAACCTAGTAAAAATATGCCTGAGTTGGTTTTGCTTTCCCTTATTTTGAAACAATGCATTTCTTTGTTGAAAATCTTCCCTGAAAGTTTGAGTGCTTTGGCCTCAATCTATTTATTGCTAGTTTATGACTATGTTTACAGCATTAATTGCAGATGTTATTTTTGCATGTGTTCTATGATTGCTCTTTTCTTTTTTTTCTTTCCTTGGCCTGCATGTTTGCTACTACAGGAACCTGCTTGGGAAATCAATGGCAACAGAACAACCTTCAGCCCTCTAACTAACACGGCGACTGGGCCTATGGGTAGTGTTTTAGCAACCAATGGAACCTTTTCAGGCTACCTCAACCAGCAAGAGATCAGCCTTTCAAATAGCTCTTCCTACCTAAAGACTACCACAGTTAGATCTTCCTTGTCCTCTCAGTCTGTGACTCCTGACATTTCACCTGCCAAGAGCACTTTAGGTTCCAAAGCAAGCCCTGCTTTGGCTGGTGGCAGTAGCCCTGCACACCAGCTGAGCCCTGCAAGGCAGTATAACAACCCTATTGGCCTTTACTCAGCAGAGACCCTGAGGGAAATGGCTGAGATGCATAAATTGAGTCTCAACCGAAGGGCTTCGGAAGGTGGACTTCCTAGAGGGTAGGTAACATGGTAACATCTTTACTTATTGAAATAATTCATGAACTTGCTGAACAGTAAATGTAATGGTGCTTACCCTATCATGCATTTGTCTGGCAATCATGATTAAGGTCTGGATCAACTATGAAATTTTCCAGTAGCCCCCAGAACATACCCATATTGCCATTACAGAACAATGGCTGTTGGTATCTCAAGTGCAGCATGGATTGGCAATAGTCAGCAGAGTATGAGGGGGAGCACTAGGACTGAAGTAACTGTAATCATCTCAGGGTTGTGGCACTCAGCAGTTCTAACCAATGCATGGAGTCTCAGAGAACCAAGTATTGCTGTCAGGCATCAGAGCAGCTGCTATAAACCACACCTGATCTTTGGTACTTTGCTAAAGAGAAATGGCTTTGACCAACAAATCTGACATGCTCAGCTACTGGAATGTCCTGCTGTAATTCCTGCTGTAATGCATTGGCTTTACTGCACAAAAATGAGTCAGAACTGCAATATCTTGAATCCTCTGGTTTGAAGAATGTCTTGTATCTGTTGGCTTTAATGTTAACTTTGCTTTTGAATGGTCTCCAGACACTGCCCAGATAGTTTGATCTTGTGCTGTTAAGGTTTTCTATATTTCTATATTGCAGGTCATCTGTTTTATTAGTAGGTTTGTGAAATGAGGAGCTTGGACTATAGTACATGATAAAAAGCAGTGAGAAACAGGTTTTCCTAATTTTTTTCATTCATGTATAAATCATCAAACAAATCTAATTTTTTAGTTTGTGTTTTTGGGGTCTTTTAAATGAAGATAAATTTCTTGTTAGGAATAGAGGAAAAGTGGTTTTTTTGACACTAGAGACTTGGCTATATAAGGAAAACCAGAGAATTCTGACAATCCACTCAAGGTCTGATGGCAAATGCATGTCTTCAAGTACTTTTCATCCCTTTGCAGAAGCTCTTTGCAAAAGTAAAACCAAGAGGTTTCAAGTTGTAGCAAAGTAAGGATATTTCATCCTGTTAAAAGAGCATGTACACCTGTTCTAGATTATTCAAGCAGTTTTAGATGATTCACTGCCACTCTTTTGAGCATTCGATGTTAACAATCTTAATTAACTTATCTAAAAAATTCTATCCTCCTTTCTCGTACTGGATAATTAAGTGAAACAATTACCATTTAAAAGAAAATAATTTTGGTTAGTAAGCAAAATCAACAAAGTAAGCCTCAGAATACTTCTCTCTTAATTTACAGTTTTCCAAAGAATACCAATTCTTGTCTTATTTCCATATACAGAGTTTCCTGGGAGTATATATTGTTGTGTTTTTCTCCACTATGCTCATAATCCTCCTTAATACCTGCAGGGGTGAGGGTTGAAGGGGCTGAATTTTGGATGGATCATCATTGAGACTATTTGTTAGCAGAATTACAGCACAGCTGCATCCATCACTGACCAAAGTCAATGTGAGCCTTTCTATTCAGTTTGAAACGACATTTTAGGGAACTGCTATCTGCCTTTACCATCTGTAACACCAATGAACAAACAAGAAAGTAAAAGTACCCTTATCCTGTAGCACAGGAACATTCTGAAAAGATGAAAGAGTCCAGAACCACTAAATAAATGTGTCTTGTCAGGTAACTTCTCTGAGATTTAGAGAACTGTACAACTCTGTTGACATGCAGAGAAAATTCAGAGTTCAATACTGTTATCATTCCCACTCCCACTTGACCGTTATCCATGAAGTCGGAAGTATCTTGCCTCCAGCTCTATGGAGAAAAGCATGGAACCTGTAACATCTTGGGACTTAATGGTATCCATGATCATCTCAATCTCACAGTGCATATATGTGAATAAGGAAGCACTGTGAGTGCTGCAGAATCAGCTCTGGTCTTTGTTGGGAACATTCTTACCGCATAATACAACACGGTTGTGATATTGTGCTGCTCCAAAACTGAATTCATTGTGCTTTCACAAACATACACTTAGCTGTATGGTAAAAGCTGTGAGAAAGCTCAAGCATGAGGAGTGATCTTAAGGTATGTTTCAGTTCTGTGACCTTTTCACCTAATGATTTAAACTTAATTGTGTGAATTGCTGTTGCAGGTTTAGCTAAACTCTTTGGAAAATCCTATGAAGAACCTGAAATTAATTTTGAGATTATTTCCTTGATCTGTGAAGAATAAGAAAGCATCTGTTTGTCTGATACACTTTATATTAAAGCTTTGTTGCTCTGACCCAAGGTGAAAAATAAGATAGGCTGTTAGGAGTGTGGAACGTGATGTGCTGAAAGCTCTGGAGTGTATGAATAAATATGAACAGTGAGTCATAGTTTGTAACACGTGCATCTTTTTCATTCCAGTGTAAGTTATTTTTCACATTGTAGGTCAAGGACAGTAAATACCTGTCCCACAAGTACGTGCCAGGTGGTTTGGGTTACTGGCCTCTTGCTGCATGACCTCTGCGAGCAGCAAGTTGGGTGTTCCAGACGTGTCCCTATATAGAATCAAACTAAGATAATGTGTGGCTCTGAACTGGGAGGAATTTTCTCATCACATCCTAAATATAAGGAGAAGCAAAGCTTTACTATTTTTGAAGGAAGCTATAGCAGCCTCTTCACATCTCAATAAACTACTGAGACATGACTGATGAGCTGTTCTTTGTGTGTGCACATAGTGTTTCTTTTCTTTGGACATATTTGTATATTCCTTTAATTAAGGTATACTTTAGGGGTTTGGTAGTTCTGCCTTGAAAATGTTATTTTATATGTACAGTAGATGCCTGGATGAGTCAGAAAATGATACCATACTTGGTTTCATTGTGAATGAGTGCCCAGCTGTCCCACATACACCTAAAATGGATATAGGATCACTGATGTGCTTACAGGCTGTACCTTGTTCCTAATATATCTCTATCAGTTCCTATAAGAGACTGATATATTTGGCTTAATGTAGGGTTTATAAAGCGAGAAGAATATTTTCAAGTCTTAGAGTCTGACCAGTAGCTGCAGAGGATGAGCTGTGATTACCATGGAAATGCAAAGCCTTTACTGCAGCTTGGGCTCATTAGAGTGCTTTTGATCAGGAAAAGTTCTGTTGGATGAGCCAAGGCAAAAGGATCATGTGTAGGAAGAGGCAGTAATATCAAAGGTTTTGCAAGGAAAAAGCAGGAGGAGCCAAATTCACTTGGGATGTCACTCTTAACAGTGTCACTTGGCTGTCTAGTATTTTGTATCAGTCCCGGATACAGAAATGTCACAGCAGCAAGTTGGAATCCTCAGTGCCCAGTTCTGTCAACAGCATTCCATGCAGCCAAGTAAGAAGATAAGTTTATTAACTGACCTTGGATCTTTTCATCTTTATTTTGTGAAAAAAAGATTAGTTAGTCTTCAACCAAGAATAGAGCAGAATGTGGGTATTCTAAGCTTTGGGAAAAAGAAAAAGTTAAACATCACAGCCTATTACTGCTATTTATACGACTACTATCAAGAGTTACTGGGAAGAGCACTGTAGTCCAGACTGAGCACACTCTGTTCTGCACTCCCAGCTTTATCCTGTGTTATGGGGCCTTGGAATTGCTGTGCAAGCACCATCACTGGTTTATGCAGAAAAGTAGAAATGGAGTGTGAACATAACTTTTTTCATACTGTATACATACTAGTTGAAATAAAATATCCTGATATGGATATCCCGGAAAACAATGTGCATCTTGTTTTGTTTTGTGTGGAATAAATTAGGAATTACTATTCCAAAGTTAATTGGCTTACACCCCTCTTGGTATAATGTAGGTGCAGTCATATCTAGGCAAATGCTTTGTTATGTACAAAGGCATTTTCCTTCGTTTTAGCTTTAAAACATTTACCATTATATTAATTGGAGTTTCTCCACCATGTAAAAGACTTAAAAATCAGTCTTGCAAAACCAGCTCTGAGGGTGGCCTGAGGAGAACAGACTGCATCCCTGAATATTCAGTATCTAAGAGAAAAATATAGTCTCTACCACTCACTTGCTATTTTCAAATGAGAATATACTCTGAAAATCCTCCTTTTTTCCCTCTGCTCCCTCCTCCCTTCACTTTGGTAGTAGTACTTTTAAGGATGCACAGCCATAAGATCATGTTAAAGCGTCAGCCAAAATGCCATTGTATCCTACTAAGTCCTGGTGGATCAACTCTAATCCCTACATTTTTTCCTTTCTTAATCATGTTGGGGTTTTTAGGCATACATTTACTTTTTGTTCTTATTTGTAGATGGTCTGAGAAGAGCCGTAGTAATCTTTTGTAAATATCTCTTGCCCTTTGCAGTCTACAAACTATTGACTTTTTTCTGTGTGGTTGGTTTTGATGTTGTTTGTTCTCTCTCTCTTCTTCTAGGTCATAACCAACACCGCTGCCAAGTTAGTATCACCTCTGTGTAGTGCCAGATGTTTGTGTGATGCTGTGTGTGTGAAGATGTGTTTTCTGGGGTAGCATGATCCCCTGTGTTCCTGCTGTGTCTGCTTGCAAGTGCAAGTATTTTTTAAACATCTGCTTGGTGTGGCAGGCGCGCTGCGCTGCCCCTGCTGTCCAGCAGTGCTCCCGCTTGGCATTTCTTGGTGATGTTCTAATGCTGTGAATGGAGCTGCCACTTGAGCCTGCCCAGTTCTTCTAAAAGCTTTCAGGTGGTTTTGCTTCTACGGGCAGGTTTAAGTCCTCTTGAATCTTCAAGTCATCTTCATGCCCTCAGAGTTTGGAGAGTGTTATCTGAGCCTTTTTTGCTGTGTTATTAGTAAAGTACTTTTAGCTTCAATGTTAAATTAATTTCTAAAGTCTGCTAAAATTCAAATTTAGGTTGGAGTAAGATACTGATGTGGGGAAAAAAAACTGTGAAGTGATTTACCTTGATAAATCTATTGCCCAAAAAAGAAGTAACTATTGATTTGAAAATGTGATTGATCTGCTTTATTTAGGAAAGTTCGGAGAATTCTCCGTTTTGACCTTTAGTTTCCTAGGGACAGAGGATTGTCTCTAAACTCTCGCTTTTTA